TTTACTGATCTTTTTAAATTACACAGCACACGTCGTCCATCCCCTGAATATCCTGCTGTCCTCTCCCTCTTTTTAAAACAAATAATTGTGCTTTAGCTTTATATTTAAACTGCAGTTGGGCATCTCCCTTTAAATATTTATATTCTTTGCTTAAAAATATCAAATCTTTCTCTGGAATGAGAAAGGAAGAGCTTATGAAACCACCAAAGTTAACTGATCAGCTGCAAGCACAGCTTCTTATGAATCAAATGGATGGGATCTATTCCTCCTCAATTGAAGACTGTACACATATGATAATACGATGAGCATGTGTACACTGGCAACCGAGCTAATATAATCTGCTTCTTAATCATTTAAGGCATGAAAGCAATATGCTACAAGTTACCCTTGCAGAAGCTGAGAGCATTGCAGCTGGAATAAATAAAGAAACTTAAGTATCTATAACTTCTACTGAAGAGAGACTTCCGGAAGCCATTTTTGTAAGTCATAAATGATAGCAGTCAATGTCATTGATTCATTCATCTGTCATGAGCATGTTCAACTAATTGGTTAGGATAACTCTCCCAATACCCACTGGAATAATGTGGGAAACAATTCCTCCTTTGAAAGCCAGATTTTCTAAGAGTCACTCAATGATAAATGTTTTTATTTTTCCTGTAAACCCCCCCGCCCCCAAATATGTCAGAGTATGGTTACTCCGAAGTATGTCCTGATGAATTTACTAGGTTTATCTTTAGATAAATATTAATCTTTTCTTCCTTGCTTTTCTGTCCTATTAGGGTCCCAACAGACAATATGCATAATGTTAAATCTTAAAGTAAAGCACCAAGTTCAGTACTGAGTTACTTTTAAAATATCTTAGTCAAACCTATATTAAAAACAACCTTCCCTTCCAGATAAATTGAAAGTGCAGTCATAGAGACTGTAAATTCTGTGACTGAGCACTAAGACAGAATGAAGACTGTTTGGCTTTGGCTTAATGCATAGTGTGAACCCACCCAATTGTGACTTACTCAACAAACCATAGTTAAACAAACCTTGGCTTAGGGTAATGTTGAAACAAACAGTGATCCCCACACATCTGGATGGTAAGACTGGAGAAAGGTGATTACAGCTAAAATATTCCAGTTCCAATGCTCTTTTCATATTTAATCATTTGTTCAGCAATATTCAGGCTATCCTTCACAATTCTTTGTCATGCTTCAGAAACAGTGTTGAATGTAACCGAGGACCAGTTTATCACAGGCCTTATCTAGTCATTCCATGCAATGCTTCCTTTCCACTGTAACGGTCCAGCAACAGGGAAATCCTACTCTACCAAAATTTCAATTAGCTACTGATCTGAAGAAACTGTATCTGATCAACTGTATTAAAAGAGAAGCTCATGAATGGTGTTGATTTTGGTGATGGTTGCTATTGCTAGATTCTATATGTGAACCATTTTTATACAGAATTGATTAGTACTTGGATGGGAGACCACCATGAAATCCTATAGTAGTAGGGTAGATCAGGTAGTTGAAACAACATCCCAGAAGGCAATGACAAGCTACTTTGTATTGTTCCCAAGAAAACAACATGCATTCCTTAAATCATTAGGTGCCAAGCTTAATTCAAAAGTAACTTTATCTTTACCATACATATACACAGTGCCTTATCTTGGACATACAGTCCAATGTTTTATGTGTGAAGACTTAGGGATAAAACCACAATTGTATTCTGCAAAAGGAGAATTAAAATGCAAGTGTCTTCATAACTAGCCATCAAGAGAACCATCCAGGAAAAGAGCAACTGTAGTTTCCAAGGTTGGGAGGAAAATGTGTCTCACTCTTTGCTGCAAGATCATCTCCCTTCTGAAAATCTGTACTTCTCCTTCCGTAGTGAGAGCTGCAGAAGTAAAAATTGCTTTTATATACGTGGTATCAACTGTCCTACCTTATCATAGGTAGAGATGTATTAACCTTCAATTTAGTAAGAAACTATTTTCTGAATACATGCCAGCTACCAGCAATTGAAAGGTAAATAAAGTACTTTACCCCTTCCTTTTCTGCCCACCGTTATCATGTCATTAGCAATTGGCAAGCATATCTGCCTGGAAATCATGGAAGAAATCTGTACACCAAAACTGTGTTTTTTTATATGACGTGATAAAGTAGTAACAAAAACAAAAATATGTTCTAAGTACAAAGTCCTTGATTGTCTATTATTTTTGTCCTTATTCTACAACTACAGAGAACAAATTCTGCATTTTGATCTGTAACATTCACTCAGAGAATAATAATTAGATATCACTCTACTTCTAGCTATATGCAGGTATTTATGCACAGTATACATAATATGTATGTATATGTGTGTGCATGCAGTTTGTAGGCTTCTGTAAAGTAGAACTGCGGTTCTCTTTGAATGCTTAATCGGCTCCAAAGATGTAACTAAGTGTTCTATTTGCAGGTTTTCAATATCCTTTCAAAGCATACTACCTTACTATTTATATTCAGAGGAAAAAAAAAATCAAAGCATGTTTGGCAAAAAATCCCCTCAAAAATAAAAGCATATTAATTCTAAAATAAATACTACTAAGATTTGCATTCTGTTAAAATCAGTTTCATGTCCAGGAATTCAAATGTTTCCTCTACAATTAGAAACTGGGTTCTTTAACAAAACAACTCTGTTTTTACAGAATTTTAACAAAAAAACTCTGTTGATCAAAAAAAAAAAAATCTGTTGTATATTCTATTTATACAAAGGGCCTTACTAAGATGCCTAAAACAATCAACAGTAAGATGTTGTTCACCTTTATGTTGCTGAGAAAGCATGCTTTGCATCATTGGGCTGAACTTTAAAAAACTGACAACTTTACAAAAGAAAGCAATAAAATTCTTGTTTGATTAGAAGTTGCTTCTACTTGAATCTTCCAGGAGGAAAAAATGCTGAACAGCAACTAGCTTTATGTCATCGTTAAACTGATTTCTTCACAACTACTGTAGTTCAGCAGACAGTAGAAAGCCCTATCCCAAAAATATTGCTAGTGAAAATAATTTTACTTTCAAAAAATCAAAGGATAATACATGCAAGTTTTAAGTAAAAAGCAATTTAAAGGGTTTACAATGGTTGCTTCAGAAACAGAACCAAATATTTTATTGCAGATCCTTGTAACTGGCAGATCGAATAAATGAGATTTTTTAAAATAAAATTTAAAAATAAAAAATATTTTTTATATTCTGATATTTTGAATGCGAAGGATAGTGCTGTTAAAAGCTTATTGGGTGGTACAGATTGTAATCAAATAACCGCACTCACTTCCCCTCATTCCAACTTTAGGATATCCACATATCAAAACATAACCTCATTTAAGTTGTGGAACACTATTAGCCAACTGTGGACAGCGATGTTAGAAGCCTGGAAAATAACTCCTGCTACAACTAATGCAATTCTTGAGAAAATCATGCATAAAGGCAAGAGGATCTGAGGTCAGGACATAATGACACTGATGTATGTGATCTGAGGGGCAATAACATTATCAGAATGTGTATTTTGCTGACTTCTCCACTATTGCGTAGAGTAGCATACAAATGCAGCAACAGAATCAACACGGGCCGTTTGCCTATACAGGAACAGAACATACTCTAGGAGTTTATCAACACATTTTCCAGATAACACGAAGATCGGATCGCACACCGCCGCAGCTCTGTCCTGAAAGAATCTGCCCAAATTCCAACGCAGTAGCTTTAAAGAGTTGAAAGTCGAACCGAAGCCTCTGTATTCAATAGAGTGCGCATACGCGCGGGTGTTTCGGTTGCAATCATTTTTTTTTTTTTTTTTTGCTTGCTTCACGAACCTCTTTTGTTATGAAGGGGAAAAGATCTGCGGTGATGAGCAGCACTCATCTACATCCACACTAAAAGGTAAACAGCCAACTCTCTCTGTGCCACCGCAGCGTCTGGAAAAACGCGCGGGCGGGGACAGGCACCTCTGGGGCCTTGTAAAAATACACCGCCCCCTTGGAGGTCCGCTGGCGGGGGCACGGAGGAAAGCGGGGCCGGGATCTGCTCCCCGGGTCTCCCTTTCCGTACGACGCGGAGCAGCTCATGAGTGTTGCTGCTCTCTTGCAGCCCCCTCCCATTTTTTATTATTACTGTTGTTGTTATTTTCCTGGCTGACTGTTGTGGACGCTCTCGCTTCGGGCAGCAGAGCTGCAGGAGAGATGGGGCCCACCTTGAACCATTCGGGAAAAGCGCGAGCCAGGCAGTGCAGCCCTAAAGCGCCCTCTCATTGGCCTTCCCTTTGGGTGTGACGGGAGGGAGCAAAGGAAGACGGCGCTCCTGCTCGAGGGAATCCCCCTCTTCCATTCATCGGAGTGGTGGGAAGGACGGGGCTACTTAGGCCGCGCGCTATCCCGCACAGGAAGGGCGCGAGGAAGCAGGTGGGCTTTTCTCCTTCCGAGCAACCCCCGGCAGAGCACCGCTGCTTTCCTTCTTCCGCGGCGTCCCGCAGGAATATGAGGAAAGGCAGGAGCAGCTGCGGGCTCTTCGCGCTTCTCCTTCGTCTCAGGAGATGCTGGCTCGGTAGCCGGAGGCGCTCCCTGTCGACTCCGCGAGGAGCGGAGATTTTTGCCAGCTGCTGATGGGTGGCTTTTTCTTGCAAGGGAAAATGTCAGGGCGTCCTTCCCCTGCTACGAACTTGCAAGGATCCTCTGCCCGGCCAACTGCGCCTGCTGCAAACAGGCACTCCAAGGGAAATACAAGCAGCTGAAAGAGAATCCGGGACCGGCCGCAACCTGACACGTTTCCTCGTTTATTGGGTAAGGCGACTAGCTCCGCCTCCCAAGCTGGAGCGATTCGTTGTCGGGCAGCTGTGATTCCGCTTTCTCTTAGGCTGGCGTGGCCTGCCAGTCATTTTGAAGGACGGGCTGTTCTTCCTCCATTGGTCCTGCCCCTTTTCCCCGCCTCCCCCCGCGCCTATTGATATTATTGGAGTGTGGAGCGAACGGTCGGTCTGCAGTCGGAGACTCGCAGGCAGCAAATACGGAGAGCAAAAAGCAAGCCGGGAAAGCGAGAAGGCAGCCGTGAAGAGCTCTGTGTAAGAGCACTGCAAATCAAAACACATTGCAGCCGAAGCCCGTAGATACGCACCGAGCAGCAGCCGCAGCAGCCGCAGCAGCAGCCGCCGCGGGGGCAGCAGAAGCAACGACAAGCGCAGTCTCTCTGAATGTATATGCATACCGTTAGATTTATTTAAACATCTCCAGCTCACGCATCATGGTTTTTCAAACTAGGCTCCCTTCTTGGATTATTTTGTGTAACATCTGGCTGCTTCATTTTGCACACACGGGGGAGGCACAGGCTGCGAAAGAAGGTAAGATGATGCTGGCCACAAAGTTTATCGCTCCCTTTCTCCGCTACGAGGGCTTTTTCGGGACCGTTCTCGGGATTGCAACTGCATGCCGCTTGCCTCTCCTCCCGAGACAGCCCAGATGAAGGGGGAGCGTCGGGCACCTTTCGCCCCATGCCGAGCGCCTCCGCCTACTTCCTTCCTATTGAAGTGAACGAACATCCCCAGGCATTGATAAGGAAGGACGGATCAGGATCGCGCCCCATGCTGTATTTGTACAGCGCATTTTCTGAACGGGGTTAGCTTCGCGAGGGGCCGCACGTGATGAAGAGCTCTGGGAAGGCGAGTTGGGGAGGGGGAGGGTGGTGGTAGTAGCTTACCGGATAGGTTCCTCTATCATGGTTAATTTTATAGGTTGATATATCAACCCCATCACCTCCCCAAACCCATCGGGCTGCAAGGCGATTATCTCCCTGCTTCCGAGACCGCCGGAGTTCGGGGGGGGGGGCGCGGGTCTGAAGCGAGCGACCTACTCCAGGACCGCAGAGGAGTTTCGAGCCTAAGAATGTATCCTCTGAGGGTTGGGGTGGGTGGAAAAGTAGCAACCTTCCTTGTTAGCCATCCATGTCACCTGTAACAGCTAATAATAAAGTCCATTTGCTCGTTTTGTCCTGGTGGCGTGATCACATCTCACAGGGCACGGAGTTAGCAGGCGAGGAGCGGAGCATAGCGCCCGCGAGTAGAAATATTTGCATCACGTACGCAGATAATGCCGCGCTCTTATGTATGCAGAATGTGCATCGGAGTCCCCCACCCACCCCCTCCACCCCCAGTAACCCGCTCTGTACATCATAATATGCTTCTGTGTATAGACCGGTGCTAGCACATAGCACATTCTCCTCCGGAATGGCAATCGGGGCTCCGAAAACCCCATTAATCCCAGATCTGTTTGGGAAAGGACAGAGCTTTTGAAGGCAGTGTTTCTCGCAATAGGCAAAAGCCGTTTCTTTTCTTGCTTGGGTAGAATCAGAAACGATGTTAAGACCGATAAAATGATTTTCTTGGGGTTGAGACATCTCCCTCCCCGCTTCCGTACGCTAGGGCTTTTTTCCTTCTCTTTGGGCTGTGGGCACCATCGAATAAAACACGCTTTCGACTATCAGTTGGAAATGGGAAGGACAGGCTCTCAGAGATAAAATAAGCGTGGCACATAAAATGGAAGTCCGTATGTGCGCGTATGCTGGGGAATGGGATCAAGAGCTCTTGAAAACTTTACCTGAAAGATTAAATCTCAGATTACATCGGGAAAGGAGAGAAGGAGGGTAAGAGGCGACTGAGAACAAAACTCTGGAGCGGGCGAGAGGTGGGGTGGAAAGCAAGCTGTATCTTCCATCTAGAGTCCTGGTGCGCCCGTGCGAAGTAACTGAAGTGATTTCAGTATATACTTTGAAATCGCGGGCTCCTTGAGGGGCTGGTTCTCGTTTGGGCTGAACTGATCAAAGGAATGGGTTTGCATAGGAAGGGGCTCTGATCTCAGAACTGTCACGTTTACCTGGGCAAGGCAGCGTCGAAAAACTCTCTCCAACTTTCGGAGTTGTTCTGGGCTCTGTGAAGCCACAAGAAGGATCGATCGCCAGTTGCCCGCATCTGCTTTCTTCCTCCTTAGGAAGGGAAAGCGAGTGTATGTGAGAAACCGGAGGTCATCTACAGAAAAAAAAAAAAGGAGTTAAGCCCTCGTGAGTGTGTGAAGGAGGCGCGCTGTTCTTTCAGCCATCCTGCCGGGGATCAGAGCGAGCAGTGTCGCTCGTCCTGAAAAGGGCGAGGGCGAGGTAGGCGAAAGCGAGGCTCGCCTCTCCATTGAAGTTACTCAGACGCTTTTCCCCTGCGGATCGATACTTGTTTTCGCCTGCAGGCAAAGCCCCCTGGCCCGGCCCAGGTGCTGTGCCTGGAAAAGTGGAGTCAATGGCGTGGGAGGGTGGTGGTGGTGTCGGGACAGGTGATGGGCTCTTTTAGCAGCTTAGTAAGGAGAAGCGCGGGAACTGGCCGCTTCCGCAAGAGTATTTTTTAGCTCAGCCCAGAACCGGGGGCGGGGGAGGTGAGGGGGGTGGACTCGCGCCTCACGCAGCGGGAAAAGGAAGCGCAGCGTGGGTGAAAAAAGGCTTTCGGACGCTTGGGGCGAGATGCTGCTCTCCCTTTTAACGAAAGGAGTAGTCAGGTGAGGAGAAGTACCCCAAGGGAGATGTCTCCCTTCTCCTTGTCTGCTTTCTCTTTGAGAACCAAAGGTTTCCTTTGGCTGGGTTTATGGACACATCTCCCTTCACTGTGTAGGCAGAATTTATTGCTTCTTTTAGAAGTTGGTTGCTAACATTGGCACTGAGGCCTAAGATGAGAAAACTAGTAATAATGAAGTGTCTCTGGCCATGTGCAAAGTGACACTCACTCAGTCCCTAAGGAATTCTGAAAGGCATTCTTGCTGCTCTTTAAACAAATGCTCAGAGGTGGAGTGTGGCACATTAGGTCTGTGAGGGAATATGAGATTTCTTCCTGTCCTCACTACTAGCCACCATCTGTCCCCTGCATAAGATAAAGGCATGCATGACCCAAAGCAGATTGTATGGCTCCCCCTCAGTTTTCAGTCAGTGAAACTGAACTCCAAATAGTAGGGAGGGGAGGGCATGATGCTTTTCTGAGAAAATTAGTTAAACATCCCTTTAGATCATGAGAAACGTGTTGGATTATTCTGTCACACTGTGTCTTATCTGTGCGGTTTTGGTATTGTCAGGGGAGAAAAACCTGTATGTTCCCCTTAGGAGATCAGCATAATAAAAGCATACATTCCTTAAGAGTTCTGCTAGCCTTTCATTTTGAGATACTGCCATCTAATTTTTGAAGTAAGTTGGGATTAGTGCAAGTGTGTAGCACAGATTTTATTAGATCTAATTTTTCTTCATTTTCTGTTAATGACTTGGTTTGAGTTGGTTGGTTCAAAGCTGTCTCTTTTGAAAAGAAAAAAGTTCTGTCTAGAACTCTTGGCAAAAACTTCAGGGAACTTCTCTGTGAAGCATAAGTAAAAGGTTCCTTAATACTTGCAAAAGGGTTTCAATAAAAAGTATGTATGTATGTATTTATCATATTTGTATAGCCGCCTATCTCACACAAGGTGACTTTGGGCAGCGTATAACAATTCAGAAAAAATAAATACATAAAAACAATTATACATTAAAAAAACTGTAAAAAAGTTGCTGTTCATCACTCAGTATCAGTAGAAGCGTGTTCTCCTAACTTTATCAGCACACGTTAATACTATTAAAATTATAGTTTTGCATGTTCAGGCAGATAAAAAAAGTTTCTATTTTTCACTTTAATTTTTGGAATTAGTTTAATTGGCTTAATTTGAGTACTGTGTATGTGTAAAGTATTTAAAAATTACAATTGCTGTTCAGTCTGTTGAAAGGGCACGGAGTGGTTATGCATGCAGAATGACTTTTCTTTAGCTAAACTTATCAGTCTGGTCTTTGATTAGCAACTCAATACACCATTCTTTTATCAATTTCTTGTTAGAAACTATTAATACCGTAGATGGAATCCCTTAGATAGCTGGATTAATTAGTGGTATAATTATGTGAGAAACGAGGCTATTTGTGTGAAGCCTAACTTCTTTAGCTGAGAAAGCGTAAAATTATATCAAAGATAAAGCATGATGTTTTCTCAGTATGGTTTCTCAGTATCCAGGATTGTAACTCTTTTTGCCTATTTGGAAGTACAATTGAAATCACTGGAACTCTTAACATTTATATGCATATGTGATCAGGCTGTGCACTGTAATCTTCTTTAGCTGTATTATTATTATTATTATTATTATTATTACTACTACTACTACTACTACTACTACTACATTATAAAATTAACGCACAAGGACTCTATTCTTGAATACCCTGTTTTTTATTATTATCAAGGATTGTTTAATTTTATATAGGGTAAGGGTCACATGTTAGAATTACAAAAACTACTTTAAATTTAAAACTGAGAGCATCTATGTATTTGTTAATGAAATTTACTACTAACCAGTGGAATGCATGTATATATTTTATGTTAATTTGTTGTTAATTGAACTATTTTTTTCTTAAATTATAGCAGGGTGACACAGTGTAGTAATGAGTACAAATCAGTGAATAAATATCAGATTTATATAAATGGTTCACAAAATGATACTGTTGAAATAATATTTAATTATTAATTTAGTTGTTAGCAGTTTCAGCACTGACCAACAGTTTGGGAGGTCTTATAAAACAACAGAAGTAATGTGTCAACAAAGCTTTATAGTTATGTTTAGAAGCACTGTTTGCTGAATAAGTGTGAGAACTGAATATTGTTACTGGTATACAAGCCCTTTTGTATTTATAATGTAAATTGGAATAAATGTCAGAAAAAAAACCTGTTACTTTAAACAGTACAGTTCAGTTAAAACAATAAAATATATAAGTTGGTATGCATGTGAAATTTGTGTCATGAAATGAAGGTTGAATAGATTTTATATTAAAAAGTTACTATTATAAAGGCATTATAAAGCAGATCCCTGCCACTTCCCGTTACATTTCCTTATATTACCTACTAAAGTATACTTGAGAAGTCACCTTCTTTTAGTATGCTCATCCAGCTGCTCTGTATTAATCTTTTCTTGAATAAAAATGTAAGGGCAAAGCAGTTTAATGCCCTTAGTCTACTCAATTTCAGCATGACTGTACAATTCTTAAAATACTTTAATGCAAATATATTATCTCTTTCAGTAATATTGCTGGATTCTAAAGCACAACAGACAGAGTTGGAATGGATTTCTTCTCCTCCCAATGGGGTAAGCATACCATTTAAATAAAATATAATCCAATACCAAAATCAGTAGTCTAAATGAATTTACCCAAAATTCCTTGAACAAAAACCATGGTGAAAAAGTTTCTGTTGTAAAAAGCAGTGTGGTTCAGATGCAAAATAATCATATACATATCTTCCTAGCTGTTAAATGCTATAAGCTGTGGTGAACCTCAAAGAATTTTTTTAATCTTGAGTAATATTATTTCAATTTTTATTCTTAAGAACAACTTTATTGATTGTAATTTTGAATATTATTTGTATGATTCTATGTAATTACTGTATAATTATATTTTATTGAACCATATTATGCAAGAAAATGTAATCAATATTCAGGTGTTTACAAATTCTTGTAAAGCTTCTTGATTCAAGTACAGATTTGCTGGCTTTAAGGCAGAAATGTATATCTTTAATTCACAATTTTTCAGAGCAAGGTTATCTTGTTGCATTTTGAAAATATCCTTATAAATGATTATTTAATTATTGGTTTAAAGAATTAACTTTCAGATTTGGAATCCATTAACTCTTATGGCTTCAGTTCTTAATGTGATAAGAATATTTGTAAGACCCGTGTACTGAAAGTATAGAGTGTAATTTTGAAGAATACATAATTATTTTAAAGATTATTTAGGTGGCTGTGATATGATATGACAGAATACATTAGGTTTAAAAACTGCAATCAAATGTGTTATATTTTCTAAATTCCCTCTGAATCTTGATGATTTTAAATGGATTTCTGCTGCCTGTCATTTAGAGTAGTTCATATTAACACAACTTGCAAATAAAGGTTTATATAATCGAGCCTTTAATCTGGCACTTATAAGGAAATCTGGAACCAAAAGAAAGTGAATTCTGAGTGGGGATATAGAAGTGTGACAAATCCTGTAAATAAAAAGAATGAAAACTTGAAACTCTGTTAACTAAAAAGGAAGATCATAAAAACAATCCAGGCACAGGGTGGAAACAAGTCTAATGGCTTTTGGAATGTATGAAATGTTAGCTGAATGCTTAAGATGAGTATTAACTGAAGTATTAGCATTTCATACTGATGGAAGCCTTTTAAGAAGAGGATTAGAACAATTTTGGAACAGATTGTAGCAGTCCAGCTTTGAAAAAATTAAGGCATATGCATGGTTCAGAGAGAGGGAGAGAAAAGAAAAAAGTTGAAAACTAATCCAAATATAGCTCACAGTTGGGCAATGTTTGATAACTGGTAATTGGATTTAATATATTTTTGGGTCTCCAAGAGTTGTAGTGATAGAGCAGTGATAGAATGGGTTAGGAGCAAGATTTTTTTGATTTCTTTTTCTTGAACTTTCGGTAAGGGTTTGTTGATTATTTTTTAAATACTATTTTAAAATATTAAACTTGTTGTAGTACTTTTCCCACAGTTTTGGAACGTTTACCTACTGTAGTTGACAGAAAATCATGCCATTAATTTTCAGCAACTCTAAAATTTGGCTGTGGGAGTCACAGAAGATTTAGAAGGTTCCCATTCATCCAGGACATATACTGTAGAAACAACAGTTACTGACTATTTAGATTACACTTACAAATATGTGCTATAAAAACCAGTGGTCTGATTCATATGTTTTTTTTAAAAAAAATATATAATATGCTTTCCATAGATAATACAGCTTAGTAAAGAAACAGCCTGTATACTTTTAGTACGTAAACAGTATGTATTGTGCTTAGACACACTTTCCTTTAATATTTGCATCCCATGATTTGTTAATAGTTAATTGACAAGAATGAGTATAGTTTTAATGCCCACTGTAATTTATTAATTGTTAAGAAATCAGGATTAATATGTAAAGCACTTAGCATTTTCGTTATCCTGGTTCTGGTGTTGTCTTTGCTTTCCTTTCTGGGATTAACTACAACTGAACCTGATCAATAATAGTTAATCAGTAGTGGTTAATGCTAGGATTATGCAAGGAGTTCGTAAAACTTGGTAAAGAGAGAACCTGGAAAATAAGCATTATTAATGACAATGCTTATGTCAGTGCTGCGATGACAGAAAGGGCATTAAGTCAACCTGCCTTATTGCTTGAATTATAGGTACACAGTACTAAATAATCAATTGATCTTGCAAGAGGTCTAATATTCAGGACACAACGTAAAGTATACCAAACATTTTTTTATTATTATGTGGCCCATTTCCCAACATTTTATCAGATATAATGGTTATACTTAAAGAAACTCAGCAAAACATTTCTAAATGTAGTTAAATTGAACTCTACATTTATATAGCTACTTTGAAACCAAGCATATATGACAATATTAGTAGCTAAATATTTGTCACTTTTGGTACACAACTTGAATTTGTTTTTATTAGAATGAAATATGTTGAAGATTTAAGATTTACTTGGGTAAATTTGAAATATAAACTTGAACTGTATCTAGTGTCAGTTAAGATTATTCTATTTTATTTGAAAATAGATTATTTCAGTTTGAAAAGTTTATTCATGTTACATATAACATGTAATCATAAGCGTTATGATCATGTAATACCTTATCCAACATTTCAGGCAGTTTCAGGAACACAATTATAAAAGTGAATCATATGAACTTTGTCTCATGTGAATTTGCTAAAAAATTGTCAGTTATTTCTTCTTCACATTTGGTCAAATTACTTTAAGATTGAGAATAGTCTTATTTATGAACTAAAAAATGTTAATACTTACAAATACTGTTTCTTTTTTCCTTCAGGAACAACAACAACAACAACAACAACAAAATAGCTGGGCTATAGTCAGTTATAATCCTGTAATGACAGAACACTCTCTCCTCTGTATCTCAGTAGATCTGAGGCATGTGGGATGGGGGTGTCCACTTATGTGAAGTTATACACAAGTCCATTGAAGTGGAAATAATATGGACCAGGGAGCTGAGTGTCTCATTTGAATGACTCAAAAAAACATGAATCAATAACTTAGATATTGGCTAGTGAATAAAATACAATATTAGGTGAATAAAAAGATTAAATCAGAAATGGCTATCTTTGTGGTTAAGAGTTCATGTGAAAGCCTACTATTTTTTTAATTTGTTTTTTAAATTGATAACCAATTTCATATGTATGTAAAATTTCTGATATTACAGTTAGAGTATCACATTTCTTGTGTGCCAGAGAATATTTTGAAGGTACATTATTTTCATGTATCCCAAATTTCTGTTGACTTGATGCAATGGAAAACTCATTAATTTATAGAATTTTATGTACAGACAGTCCTCTACTGTGATGGAATGGAATTATGAAGGCCAGGTTCGGGGAGATAAGCATTTTCTTAACTCACCGAAAGAGCGTGGGAACCACAAGAGGATGAGGCTGGCACCTCCCTGAGGAAATCATGGTGTTGTGGCTGCCTGGCTTGGGAGCTGGGGTTTCAGTCTGGGAAGATTCTTGCTAGAGGTTGGAGCTTATAAAAATAGCTGAACTTATTTTG